AATGTATGAACATGTAAGCTGACCAGCGTTCTCCCCCAGTGTAGGTATCCCTTCACCAGTGGTTTTCAGGCTTGTCCGACCTTGTCCCAGGCATGCTGCAGCTGTCCAGTTCTGAGTGGTGTCTGCATAAAGTGCAGAACCATCAGTAAACCAGGCCCTAGCTTGCTTGTTTTCCTCACTCAGCTGATCACAGGGCATATCCCATGACGCTATAGGTGCAGGCTTGGGAGCAGCTGACATTGTAACAGGAGTGGGAACCATAGGCATTTGAGCAACTTCTTAATGGAACTTGCTTGTACCCCTCAGGACCTGCTTGGACCGGATCACATGTATACCGCTTCCATTTGATAACGGATTTCAGCTGTGTCTGTCTTACTTTACGACTTGTTGGGTCAGGTAACACCCAGCTCATGACGGACAGTCGGCTTGCATGGTAACTATGTAGCATTGTCAAACATTCAGTTTTCACTAAGGTCCAACAGCAGGTCAAGAGCTGTCTCTCGGAGGGGGAATAGTTGTCCGCAGATGATGGAAGAGCCCTGCCCCGAAAGGCTCCAAACAGTATCCCTGTCTGACACTGACACCTCAAGTATCATCAGGACTGCTCTTATCTTATGGTTCAAGTGGTAGAGCAGTCTGCACAGCAGCCTGTGCCTGCTGAAGAGCCTTTTCCTGTCCAGGGTCCACACAAAGTTAGCAGCTTTCTAAGCTACTGGGTATAGGGGCAGAAGTAACACACCCATGCGAGGAATAAGCTGTCTCCAGAACCCAAACAGGCCCACTAAATACGCTTCTTTCTTGGTGGTGGTGGTGGGGGCAAATGCAGTAACTTTTCCTTCACCTAAGAAGGAATATCTTTGCACGCCCTACACCACTGGACTCCTAAAAATTTCACTGAGGTAGAAGGCCCTTGAAGTTTTGGTTGGATTTATTTCTCATCCTCTGATGTACACGAATTACCACGTCCAAAGTGCTTGCTACCTCTTGCTCACGAGGTACAATCAGCATATCACCAATATTGTGAACCAATGTGGTATTATTTTGTTGAAGACAAATGATCAAGATCTCTTTAAACAAGGTTCTGACACTGGGCTGGAGAGGGAATATATTCTTGCGGTAAAACTGGAAGAGTGTGCTGCTGGTCTTGCCAATTGAAAGCAAATTGTCTCTTGTGATCCTCTGGACCGGTACTAAGAAAAATCCATTTGTCAGATCCCTAGCTGCACACCACGTACCAGGAGATGGCGTTAATCTGCTCAAGTAAGGACACCACGTCTGGGGCAGCAGCCGCAATCGGAGTCACTACTTGATTGGGTTTTTGATAGTCAGCTGTCATTGTCTAAGGTCCATGTGTCTTCTGCACTGGCCAGACAGGAGAGTTAAAGGGAGATGCGGTGGGGACCTGCACCCCTGCCTCTTGCGAGTCCTTGATGGTGGCACCAATTGCTTCAGCTCCTCCTGGAATGCAATACTGTCTTTGACTGTTTTCCCTGGCTGAGGCTTCCATTTAGCCTTTCCAACCATAATAGCCCTCGCTTCACAGGTCAGGGAACCAATATGAGAATTCTGCCAACTTCTAAGTATACCTATACCAATTATACATTGTGAAACCAGGGAACTGACTACCGGATGAACTGGGGGCGGGGCTGCGCCTACTGTGAGCTATATTTTGGCCCAAACTCCATCAATCATCCGACTTCTATAAGCCCTTACTTTAACCTGAGGGCCAGAACATTTCTTGGGAGCTCCCAAAATCAGCATCAATTCAGAGCCCGTATCCAATAGACCCTGAAAAGGCTGGTTGCTTCCTTTCCCCCAGCGAACAGTTATCCTTGTAAAAGGCCGTAGGTTCCTCTGGGGGATGACTGGAGAAAGGCTAACAGTAAAACTTTTATGTTTCTGATCAAGGTCCTTCCTCAGGAGAACCTGACTGTCCCTTCTTTCAAGGGGACCTGCGTCTGCAAACTGACTCAAGGCTGGAAATTGCTTCGTAAGCTGAGATTCTCTTTTGCCACGATCCAATGTCACCTATCTTTCATCTGTTTGCAAATTTTTTCGCTCGTACAGCTCAAACAAGATGCAGCAGGCCCTGGAAACTCCAATTTGACTAGCCAGCACCAAAGGTCCATATAAGTCATGCCGCCATAAGAATCATTTTCCATGTGCTGACCATTACTGGCTAGGCTGCTGTCAACATTGCTTTGTCTAGGCTGCTCATTACGATAACAACAACCACCATGTCTTTGGCAAGTACTGCCACCTGGCACTTGTTGCTTCCAGCCCCAATTAAACCCACTGCGCTTACACTTAATTCATCCAACTGAGCAGAGCATCTCCAACCCTAAGCGAGGGAAAGGGGAACAAAACTCCTCAAACGTGCTGGTACCCCCCTCACCATTTTGCTGTCTGACAGGATTGGCGAAGGGCGCGTCTTCTGGGTCTTTCCATTATTCAGGGTTAGGTTTTCCACAGAACACCCTCTCTAGGGCTGCTTCTTCCCTGATCCTTAAAATCCCTGCATCAGCTAAGCCAAGGGCTATCGGGCCTCTCCAATTCCTTTCCAGTCTTCTCTTGACAAATGCTTCAGTCAACCATTCAAACTTTCAGCAACATTTGTAACTGAGCAAGCATCTATACTAAAGATAAAATCTTCACTTTGTGGGTTCAGATCAGTAAACACAGTGTGATCCAGTCTTACACTCCTTCCACCATTATCCCATACCCTTAAACTCCATGACCATGCACATCCCCTTCAAGACTTCTACTTGAACAAATTAGCAAACTCGTTAAATTCTTTTCTATGTATTCTATGTGGTGCACCTCCTTCTGGCCTACGCGTCCTATCTCTCCTTTAGGGGCCTGCTTAGCCTTAAGTCTGGTTACAGGTCTAGAAGTAGCACTGGTGGATCCTGAGGGACATCGGCATTGTCTTGCCTGTCATTTCCTTCGGTGACAGTCACTGCTGGCTTAGCAGACAAGAAAGGATCAAAGGTGAAAAAGGCAGTATTTCAGGGGCTGGGCATATGAGTACATCGTCGGCTGAGGGTGGAGAAACTCCTTCCTAAGATAAGCCCTTGAGAATTTGAGGGTTCAAAGTTCTCAGCTTCCACAGGGGCCTTCCACACATCTCCACCCCTAGTTACAGACCCCATTCTTCACCAATTAATGCCCTTACATTAACTACACACACCCTCCAACTCGACCCCCTCCAAAATTGTGGCTGGAATTTTCACTGTTAAATCAACCAACCGTATAATGAGGGCTTTGGTTTGACGTTGCACAACTTGCACTCTGTGGATACTAAACAGATTCTCTTCATGGGACACTTAAAGACCTTTAGGCTGTTTGTGTGCCCTTGGGGCTGGCCAGTTTTATCACCGAGTTCATTGCTGTCTTTCACTGTATCCCAAGATGCTAGAAGTTGCTTAGTTGGATCATGGGGCTCGTTCTTTCCCTTTGTCAGTTTATCCAGACATGCTAGGAGCTTAAGCATCGTCGTTTTCCTTATTTTTTCCACGAACTGTCAAAAGTTCTATATACACAGTCACCAAATCTGTTGCTTCTCACAGCTGGCGAACCAGGATGACTCAATGCATGTTTCTCCTGAAGTTTGTAAAATACTTTGCACCATGAGCTTTTGCTATTCTCCAAGCTTCTAGGAGAGGTTTCAGTAACTGTAGCGTTGGCGAATTGGAAAACCTCTTCCAGATACTTAGAAAATTCATTCTTATATGTCCGTTGCTCTGGAACCACTTCTGGCATCAAAATCTGTATTAGTCAGAGCTCTCCAGAGGAACAGAACCAATAGAATGAATTTATGGCTGATAGGTTGTGGTTCAGCTAGTCCAACAATGGCTGTCTGTGAATGGAAAGTCCAAGAATCCAGTAGCTGTTCAGTCCATGAGGCTGGATGTCTGAGCTGGTCTTCAACATATGCCAGAAGCCTGATTGAAGCGGGCTCTAATACCAGTGGAGGAATGGACTGGCCAGTGAGAACGAGGCAAACAGGCAAAACAGAAAAAGCTTCCTCCTTCCATGCCCTTTATGTAGGCTGCCAGAAGAAGGTGTATCCCAGACTGAAGGTGGCTCGCCCACCTCTAAAGATCAGGATTAAAGCAGTGCGTGTGTGTGTGTGTGTGTGTGTGTGTGTGTGTTCAAGCTGACAACCAGGAATAGCATTGCACTTCCTCTCCCTCTGAGGGGACCTCCTGACCCGTCACCGTCATCATGCTTCCGTGCTTTGCAGTCTGGCCTGCTCTCTATTCCCTCAGATGTTCTCTGCCCAGGGCCTCTGCCTCCACGCGTCACCTACTGCTCCTCACACACCCGCTACAGGGGAATGTCGCTCTTCTGAAGACACCCACCGTGACCACCATGTAAATCTGGTTTCTAGGTTGTTCCCAGGCACCTCTGTTTTCTTCCTTTTTTTTTTTTTATCACCAGCCACAATCAGGGATGCTATGCTTGCCTGGGGCTTTGTCTGTTTACTGTGTCCCCACAAAATTGGGAATAGAGCTGAGCTTGTCCCCTGTTTACTTTCTGCCCACAGAACTGTATCTGGATGGGAGAGAATGCTCAGTGAATTTGTTGGGCCAGCCAGTCCTTTGACAGAAAGTTTCTGTGCCTCAGTTTCTTGGCCAGTAAAGTGAGTGCCACCTCTGAGCAGGTGTCACAAGGAGGAAGCTGTGAGGACCCACACGGTTCCCAAGTTAAATAAACGACATTTCTGTCCCTGTGACTGAACAGTGATCCATGAGGAGCCACCGGCCATCAGCCACAAGGGAGGAAGCATTTCAAATCTGGCTTTCTTTTCTTAGTAATCTGACTCGTCTACGAATCTTCATCTCATCTTTGAAGCCCTGACCTCGAGGGACGAACACTTGGATTTGGACATGTTCCAAGACTTCCTCTTACTATGTTATTTTGAGATTACTGTTTTGTAAATTTCAGACCTTGGAGGCTGCACGGGAGTATAGAAATAAGACGTCAAAACAGTTTACCTATGATGTTCACCGTACTATCCACTTCATTTTTTATAGCTGAAGTCAGGACCGCATACTCAGGAGAAAGGTCACTTACTCCATTACTAAGCCCCAAAGATGACTCAACTGGTTCTTGCTAGGAAGAAGAAAAGAGAAAAGAATTGAGAACACTTCCTTTCCCTCCCTTTTCTTAGCTTCCATTGTCCCCCTGTCTAATTTGTTGAATCCTGGGGTTTGTCATTCACGCCACGTCCCAAATACATCCCTGCCTCTCTAAATTAGCCTGACATTAAAGACGCTGGCTATTCGGTTTCTTCCATTTTCCTTCAAGGAAATGCTCTCAGCACATCTGGCTTGCCTTCAGGAAACACCTGCAGCTGCACAGGATAGCTCTGTGCTGAGCAGAGTGGCAGGCAGCTATCTCGTGCGAGCCCTGGACTGCGTGGAACCCAAGTCTCCCTCCTCTGAGGGAGAATGCGGAGGAACCAACTCCTGGATTCTCCTGGAGGGAGAAGCCATTTCCCCGCTTTTGCAATCACTTTTTAGGACAAACTCTGCCTCCGTGGTTAGCCAGTGACAGGAGCCCAGAGGAAGGTGACGGTCAGCATCCAGGGACACTCCGTGGTGGGGTACAGCCACTCGAGCACCCTGCACTGATGGATCTGATATCAGGGCCACAACTTCGGCTGAAGCCTCCTCTCACGGGCTCACCACCAGACAGGCAACCAACCCCACCTCCACAGCGTCACATAAATGTCTTCTTGTGCCTAAAACGCCCGCCCACCCCGCCCAAAAAGCTGCATCGTGACATTGGAGAAAGCAGAAGACACTCTTTCCCTGTTCGGACTCTGCACTTCTTCTTCATTCACGTGTATCTGAACTTCCCCTCCGTGAGACTATCAGCCAATCAAGGAAAATCAGCCCTTGTGACTCTCAGACCTTCGATGAGAATACTTCCCTCCAATAGGACTACATTTGTTTCAATGATAGCAATAGGCCCCTGCCCCCAAAAGCCACGTAAGACAACTCCTGAGGAACCCAAAACAGAAGGAGAGGCTGGAGGAGGAGAATGAGGACAGGGCTGCAAGCAGAGGAGGATTGTGGGAGTGGCAACATTCGCGAGTACTTGGCATTCTAAAGCCTATGAGCCATTCCTAGCAACTGGTCACACTGGGAATCAAGATCAAATTCCATATAGTCTCCACGATCCTCTGGCAAACTCCCATGACTATTATGGTTTGAAAGGTTTCACCTTGATGTTCAACTCAGCTTGAGAAAAACAAAACAAAACAAACTCGCTGTAGTAGGGTTTACCAGCTCTGCCAAAGGCCAAATATCCAGAAAGGCCCAGAGCAGTCCAACTGAGCAGGAATTTCAGTCCTTTCTCCCTCAGCATCTTGTATTTCTACTTGTTAGTAAGTTCCAATAAAAGGCCTGACCTGTTGGGGAGGGTGGGAAGGGCCTTTCCAGTTTTCCTTCCTTTATAGTCAAACAGCTGAACAAGTACCTGCCTTTGCTAACTCTGCCTCCTCACGTGCATCCTTGAAAAGGCCTACAGCCCTATCTCGCCTCCATCCGCAGAATGAAGCCCCCAGAAGACATGCTAACAAGAGGAGTGGGAGTCAGACCAAGCCTGGATCCTTGGCTTCTCACTAGTCTGCGGACTGAATTTAACCCTGTAATCCCTTCCTAAGGCATTGTAGACATCTGTGTGCTGAGAACAGTAACAACTACCGCACCACGGAGTGAGGTGAAGTTTAAATGAGATGAATAGAGATAGGCATTTATTATAGAATAACCCTCGCTACCACTAAAGGTCACCAACAGAACTTTTTCCCAAATCCATGGGCCCTTTCTCAAGTCCCTTCCCTTCAACTTCATCCTCTGGTACCAAACAGGGAGGACATTGTCCCTCTTTTTGTTATTTACTTATTTGTTCACCTGTTTGCTTGCTTTACTGGTTGATTTTTGAGACAGGGCTTCTCTGTATAGCCCTGGCTGTCCTGGAACTCCCTCTGTACACCAAGCTGACCTTGAACTCACAGAGATCCACCTGCTTCTGCCTCCTGAGTGTTGGTTTTAAGCACTGCACACATGCCTCCTTCTCAAGATCCTGAATCCTGTGACACGGCTGTGGGGTGCGCCTCCCCACAACACTATCCTTTTTCCGTAGCTCTCTCAATGCCCCCTGCTCTGTTTTCTCCTCCCCAATAACGTTCCAGATTTTTTTTATGCCTCTTCATTTCCTCAACTCCTCCCCAAGGAACCAAGTACGGGTCTCTGAAGAGTGGACAGGAAGAACTGCTTCTGCACGATCTTCTTTTGTTTCCTTAAAAAAGATTATTCTATTTGTAGATTTCATATCAAAGTAATAAAACAGTCAGGTTTGCATTATTCAAAAACTGAATTATTCTGACTTTGCAACAGGGACCTCTAAGTGTTTCACATGATCTACACTTTAACGGGTGGCAAGTGAGACTTTCGTCACTTCTTGTGAGAGAAAATTATGACTCACTAAATTAACTGTCCCAGATCATGCTCCATTTAGCCTGGTGAGATGCAGGAGCTGAGCTAAGCCTTTGCCTGCACAGGATGTTCAAATGCAAAGACAGCCCGCCGCCTTCTGCAATCATCTTGATGGAGACCAAGATGGATCGGGGTGGAACAGAGATGGATCGGGGTGGAACAGAGATGGATCATGGTGGAGCAGAGATAGATCAGAGTGGAAGAGAGATGACTGGGGTGGAACAGAGATGGATGGAGGCAGAATAGAGATGGATCAGGGTGAAACAGAGACAGACTGGGGTGGACCCCTGCTCCTCTCTGCCTACCTGGTGTCCTGCCCAAGGCAGAACTTTCAGCCATTGGCTACTGAGAGGTTATCTGGAACATGCCTTACTCCTCCTCCCACCACTCTGGGCAAACTCTCATTGCTTCTGTCACTCCAGAGGGACAAGGTGTGACATGCGCACAGCACAGTGGGCTGTTCAGCTCCCTGGCAAGTGGAACAATGATCCCAAGAGCGACGTTTCTTCAAGAACTCAGTCAAAAGTTTTGAAACCATTAGAATTGAGGATATCAGAAGCTGGACTAAGCCAGCAAGATGGCTCGGCAGATACAGGCATTGGCTGCTGAGCCTGAGTTCAGACCTATGTGGTAGGAGAGACCTTGTTCTCTGACCTCCGCTGAGCACTGTGCACATGTGGGCATGCGCATGTGCACAGACGCATAAATAATAAATAGCATGATACAAACATGTTTTAAACAACCTAAATTACATTAGAAACCTAAGGATTCCAAACTGTGAAAAGAGGTGACGGTCTTCTATGAGCATGTACAGAGACAGTGTAAGTGATGGGTGGCCTGTCCTGGTCACCTCTAAAGGCCCCTTCTGCCTGGTCTCAACCATACCTCGCTGTAGCCCAGGGAGTCCTGTTAGACAGAGGCTCTTGTACAAATCAATGCCTGTAGCTACCTTGGTTTCTAAGTCTCTCGCTTCACACCAGCAAAACCAAACAAACAAACCGTGCTCGGGCAGATTCCCTCCATGATGCATTGGCCCTGCCAAATCTCTAAGCTCAGAGACATCTTCTGTAATTACAGAACCTGAGGCCTAGTGCAGAGACTAATGGATTTTTAAGCGAAAGGAAACTAGCGCAATGGAGAGCTTTCCATCTTTACAACTGTGAAACTTCCCACTTCGGTTGGTCTCCCGCTTGGCTTGCTAGATGGACTTGGAGTGGACCTCAGATAAAGTAGCTGATGCCTGAAGTATCTTACTCCTCCCTCTGCTCCGAGCCACTTCTGCCTCCGCCCTGTGCTTTATCTAGATCTGCCTTTCCAGGGCCCAATGGAACGACCATAAGAATAGTTCCCACCCTAACCCACCTCCTATCCCAAAATGCTCTCTAAACGTCAAATCCAGGACATCAAATCTAAGGGCATCTCAGGGATCTGCTAACGAAAGGTCCAGGCTGAGCTTCATAATGAAGGCAGGGAACCGAGCCTGGGAGGGTGCAGAGGCTCCCGCCACAGCAGTCCCAGCACTACAGAGAACAAAAGCTGTTGGAGGCCTCTGGTCCACCTTCACCTTTCCTTCCCTCTCACTGCCGGTTCCCTTTTGACCTCTGCCCTTGGCACACCCTTCACATCCTCATCTTTCCGGTCCTCTCAGAGAATTCCTGTCTAAGAGAAGGACTGCTCTCAAGGCTTCCAGCGTTGTTCTGGAGTGAATGTTCGCACCTCTGAACCTCAGTCAGCTGGCGCTTGCTCGCCTGCGCTCTCTCTCACTTCACCCACAAACAAGCTCCAGGCCTAGAATTCCCTCCCTGTAGCCTCCCCTTTAATCCACTCCTGTCTTTACTGGTTATACCGGGAAGAAACGTCTCCTCCTCCCCACCGCATTGGTCACCATCTCTGTCTACACTTGCTGGAGTTTGTCATTCTCTTCCTCCTACCATGAGCCACCACTAAATATAAACTCCACTGGGTTCCAAAACTTTGCCCAAGTAGTTTAACTTTATTTCCTGAAGTTATCCATCGACGTGTGAACAAGAATTTCTGGTTTATTGTGTCTGGAGAGACTGACCCATTGAATAACTTCAGTAATCTAAGGACATTGGAATGTTGCTGGTCCAGGACCAATTAACCTGCCACGAGCTAGCTTTAGCCTCCACAATAGGCATCCTTGACCCCTCTGTGTCAGAACCAACATCAGGTGACTAGTCAATACAAACTTTAAAAAATATATTAACATAGCAGTCTACTACTGTGCACCAACTCTAAACTAAGAACACCATCCAGGGCCTGGGGAGACAGCTCAGTGGTTAAGAGCTGGTCTTTTAGAGAACCTGGGTTCAATTCCCAGCACCCACATGGCAGCTCTCAACTGTCTATAACTCCAGTTCCAGGGGATCCAACACCCTCATATGGACATACATGCAGGCCAAACCACAAATGCACATGAAATAAAAATAAACATGAAAAAGAATGCCATCAGATAAAAGGCCTATGGAAAAGCTCCCCCATCTCTGTAAGTGTCTCTCTGATGAACCCTTCCGTGTATTTTAAATTTGACTGGTGATTTTCTTGATTCTATAAGCCTATAAATCTTCGTGGAACTGCTTCCATGTTGGA